GGGGGGGGGGGGGGGGGGGGGGGGGGGGGGGTGTCAGGATCTAGAGTTGCTACAATATATGATCTCAAATGTCTAGTTTTCAGGGTCAATTACCACATGCAACAAAGTAGGAAAGTGTGACTCAAAAGCAGGGAAAAAAAAGAGACAACAGAACTGCCTTTGAGAGGGCCCAGATGTCGGATGAGCAAAAAGGACTTCAAAGCAGCTATTACAAATGTTAGAAATATGCTACAAATAGGTCCACAAACTTAAAAGAAAACGTCTGCCCGACAAGATACTAAAGGAAGCTGTTCACTCTTCAATCAGTTATTCCAATCCAGAGCGCCGGCAAAGGCAATAAAGTAATTCTAAAATGAGGTATGAATGCATCTCTCTTCCCCGTTCTTTTCCTAATAAATTTGAAAGCGATTGTGATAAAACAGTACATATATAATTGGATTGTTGGGTTTATAACATATAGAAATGTAGTATACCAGGCGTGGGCCAAACAGGTTTACAGTTGTGATGACACTGTTTTGAGTTAATAAAGCTAATGTAATAGTCAGAACCTGCACGTCTTTTTCCATAGAAACAACTGTAAACCTGCGTTTGCCCACCCCTATATCTGACAATAAGAGCACAAAAGGATGGGCGGGAGCAAAGCTCTCTTAAAGGAAGGAAACCATGCCAAATGGTAACTCAAATCAACTAAAGCAAATAATAAAAGAAGCCCACAAAAATATTCAGTAACAAGGTTGCTTACCCTCCTCTCTCCAAGCAGAAACATAGTGTCGGATTCCCAAATTCCTACATCCAGCCACCCGGTTTACTATCCACTAGCATGTGTAATATGTATCTCAATTTAGATGTATCCGAAACTGAGCTTCTAAGTGTGCCTTCACACCAAACGCACCCCTCCTGCGCAATTCACCATCTCTGTTAATGCCAGCTCCATGCTTTCAGGTCTTCAGAAGCCCGATTCAACCTTTACTCCGCTCCTTCTTCCACTGTTTCCAGCCCCTCAGTCTCTCCAGTCTCTTGGCTCTACCTTGAAAATATATTCAGGATCCAGCCATTCTCTCATCTGTTTCATGTCTTTACCCAAATGTGTTCTCAGGGTCACCCCATTTAAATGCAACAACCTAAAACTCCCTATCCTCCTTCCTAGCTTTCTTTCTTTCTCCGGGGCACCTATCATTTAAAATACATTTTACTTATTTCCATTTTTGTCTGCCTCTCCTTATTAAATCTATCTCCAGAACGTAAAGTTGATGTTTAAAAACAGCTCCCTAAGGAAAGCATGCAATGTTAAACAAGACACGCAAAGTTCAAAAACTGACAAACTAAATTAATGATTTGTTTGCAAATATACACAGAAGGGTAAAAACCCTATAATGAAAAGCAACAAAACAATTAAGACAATATTAATTCGGTTACCTCTTTGGGGGATAATGAAGGGAGAGCCAACATGGAGGCAAAATAGGGCTTCTCGGGGTACTGTAATGTTCTCTTTCTTGGCTCAGGTAGATAGGGTGTTTACTTCATTATTGTTCTGAAACTATATACGCTTTCATAGAGTCTTTTGTCCATATGCAATATTTCCAAGTTTATAAAAGAGCACTATGAAAAAAATAAGTACTACACAGCTCAAAATTACCTTAAAAGGTAAAGCTATAGAAATAAAAATTTCTTTAAATAATCAATATGTGATTTTAACCAGGCATTCCAAAATTCCAAATCTCAGAACATAACATGCTGGTTATGAAGACAACAATCATTTTGGTCTACATAAATATTTTATGTTCATTTTAATAAATCCCCTCACTGTACTACTTCTTTATTGTGTGTATTTCTACTATTTCCCACATATACGTGTACCATAAAAATTTAAGTTGTCTGTCTCCTTTACTGAGGAAGTCTTAGGATTATCCCCAACACAGTGTTTGACACGGAGTTAATGAATTTTGTTTAAAAGATTTCAGGCACTTATTATGCAGAGTGATAAGCAAGGCTGAACACCATGAATAGCACGCTCATCAGTATTTACTAAAATTTAAGTTAACTAATAACATTATAAGAGTGTCCTGTTTCATTTTCCAAAACCTCTGACAGCTAAGTTTTTAGAGAAATCACAAAAATTCAATAAATTAATAAAATAGCTTTGACCAATTTAATGTAAAAAAAAAACTCCGATTATATCAAATCTAAGAAACTAGAAAAAATCAGTTTTAAGGATATTTCATTGGTTGCAGAATTTTAGGCTCATGGGTTTGTTTGTTTTTCAGCCACTTAGGGATACCATATCTTCTAGATTTCATTTTTTTTTTTTCAGTGAAGAAATCAGTTGTCCATCTTAGTGTTGCTCTTTTAAAGGGAATATGGCTTCTATTACCTCTGGCTGCTTTAAAATTTTTCTTTCTGCTTGGGATATCATCAGTTTACCTTGATACTGCTAAGCATAAGTTTCTTTGTACTTATCCTACTTAGTGCTCATAGAATTTCTTCAGTTCGTGACTTGATGTCTTGTCACCTTTGGAAGTTATTGGTAATTAACACCTCAAGTAGTATTGTCTATTATTTTCTCAGTCTTCTTCTGGACTCCAGTCTTTTATTTTTTATTTTTGTCTTTCTATATTTCAGTATGTATTTTCCTTGACCTATCTTCCATTTCATTAATTATCTCTTTGGCTGTGTCTAACCTGCTGTTAAACCCATCCAAAGAATTCTTAATTCATTTAATATATTTTTACTTCTATAATTTCCACTTGATTCTTCAGTAAAATTTTCTAGTTGTCTGGTAATATTTTTCTACCTTATATTTTAATTCCTTTAAAATAAAGTTCTAATCATTTTAAAGTTTCTGGAAACACCACTGTCCTATAGGTATGTTTCTAATGGCTATTTTTTCCATATCTTGTTTTTTTTCTAAGCCTTATTTTAATTTATACCAGATATTGCATATGATATACTGAAGAAATGATTTGAGGCTCTGTGTATTACTATCTTCCTCAAGCGAGGACTGACTTTTGCTCTGCCAGCTAATTAGGCTATGAGCAGATCACCATAATCCAATGAAAGACTGTGATGCTTCAAGGTGAGCTTATCCTAGCAGTAGGTTTAGAACTTCAGGGACCAGACTAAAGCCTTCAAAGTGTAGCAAGGCCCCTCTTCCTTGGCACACTGGAAACCTAATTTTAGTACTCTACATTGATTGGCCTAAGCTCTGCTCAGTTTCTCAGACAGATTTGATTTATAATTGTATCAAGGACAAAAGTTGCACAAAATGCCAATCTTACCTNACATTGATTGGCCTAAGCTCTGCTCAGTTTCTCAGACAGATTTGATTTATAATTGTATCAAGGACAAAAGTTGCACAAAATGCCCATCTTACCTCTCTTGACATTCTACCTCTCCTAGATCTTGACCCATGAATCCTCAGTTCGTTATTAGTTCACTGATGTTTTCAAAAAACATAATTCCTAATTTTTTTCAGTGGTAATTATCCAAATAACCCATTTCACCAGTGGAAAAAAAATCCTCCCAACACACATTTTCTAATATCTTAACAAAGTAGCCTATTTCCTAAACTATATCTACTAAAAAATAAAACCAGTTCTCATGTGGTAAAAACGTAAAATTAGTGTGTACAATGGACACTTAAGAGTAACATTTAAAAAGGACATAACATTTGACAAATAAAGCTGATACATACTATAACTCATATATAACAGCAAACTTTGAACTACCCGAAAGCACCAACATTTTAAGAATGCTACAAATAGAAAAACAAATAGAAAAATGCCATTTTCATGCTCACTGATAATTTTACAAATNTTGAACTACCCGAAAGCACCAACATTTTAAGAATGCTACAAATAGAAAAATGCCATTTTCATGCTCACTGATAATTTTACAAACCTTTTTTAAAAATGTAGAACCCAGGAAAATAGTAAAGCATCATATGTATCTATAACATATTTGTAATGAGGTGCTCAAAATAACAAATTATTTTATTAAGTGATCCCATGGGGCAAGTACACAGTGTTATTTGTGCACGCGCTAACATTGCCAAGATGACAATTCTATCCTTCTGTGCAAAATTTCACTTTGGGAAATTTTCGAGTAGATAATCCTATAAAATCTGATCAAATTTCATTCAGGTGGCAAGCAACAACCAACTCTCCCACTTTGATTTTATTTAAATGATACCCATCTCTCTCCTATCCATTCACTTTTATTACGCTCTTTCCCTGAGCATTGCTGTGCCCATTATTGTTACTGTGAACTACGCTGCCTCTGTCATGCAGAAGCAGTTACCTTTTCCTTTTTGGTATGATACATCTGTAACATATGCAAAAATAGGTTAAGCAGATTGATGGTGCCTTCGTCACTACACCACACTTACTCTTTTTATCATAACAAAAAGTCAATAAGAAAATGTTAGAAATATTAAAATCGGAAATAAAATGCAATGTATAAATTACATAAAACAAAAAAGTAGCTTATTAATTTTAATATTTACAATATAATAATTATATTACTTATGTGTTATTAATATTAATTGATATATTCTTTATTGATTATTAAGTAATCAATAAATTAAAAACTAATAACATTTCAAACCTAGAGAGAGCATTATGGTTATGAATAGGTAATTCACTTAACAGGAAAGAAGTGGCCAATGAACATATAAGACGACGCTTACAAGAGTCATTAGGGTGTGTGCATTAAAATATCCGTGAGATACCATTCATACCCACTGCCCTGGCAAAGCAAAAACACCCTCACCGTCACCAGTGTTAGTGGGGATATGGGGAAACAGGGCCACCCCCACCCTGCTGGTGGGAACAGACACCGCCACAGTCACCCAGAGGCGCAAGCAGGCGACATGCAGTAACTCTGAGGGTGTGACTATCCTCAGGCCCACCCGTTTCATTTTTAAGAACATGCCCTGGAGAAACTCTCCCATTGGACGTGAGGCGGCCAGTACGAGATATACAATGTAGCATTTTTATAACAACTAAAAAGGAAAATCTAGCTAAACGTCCCACGTTTTGTATCTCACAGGAAATGAGATAATAAAACCCAAGAAACGTTTTTAAAATTGACATGTGACAATAAAATATGAGTGCAAAGTAGAACAAATCCCAAGGCAGATAATAACAATCCTAAAAGTCTGTAAGCAAAATGTCCTGTGTGAATTAAATATAATATGCTTACAGAGTAAGTGTATCTCCAGGATCAGAAACCCTCTAATGTTGATCATTTACAGTAATGACAGCTATGGAGAAAAATCTTATTATTTTGTACCTTTGCTACATAATAGAATATCATTAGTTGAAATAAAAGACATTCAATTAGTTGAATGTCTCCTTGAAAATATTTAATAAACACCACTATTCTACAAATATAACAGTGACAGGTCTTCTCAGCACACTTCTGGCTCCTTCACTCACCAGGTCCTAGTGTTAACTTCGTACTTGTAGAGGTCATCCACCAGCCCGTACTTGTTGCCGGGCAGCGCTTTATAGCCTCCGTGAACGTACACGGCCTTGGTTATTCCATCATACACGCTGGTGTGCCCGTAGCCGCCCTGAACAATGGCTCCTCTGGTTTCCGAAACAAGCCAGGTGTTTGACGCTGCAGGAGAAAGAAGATAAACCGTGAGCTTCACGTAGGGCTTAAAACGTAACTAACACACCATCGAACCACCGAGCTAATTCCGACACCACATTTTTATGACTAAAGTATGCCTAATATCCATTTAACCAAGAAACAGTTATTAAATCTGAGCTAGTTACTATGTTAGGTGCTAGGGGGTCAAGTTGAGTGAGGCTGGTCTTTCTGTAGGGGAAACTCTGAAATACTGAAAACGCCAAACTTGTGTGTGCAGCAGGGAAAGGAAAATTCTATTCTCGCATACATGTCTGTATTTTTAAATAATCCTGGGGGGAGGGGAAGCTGTAGTCATGAAAAAAAAAAACAAGTACAAATTACAACTGCATATTTCTTCTAAATATAAATTCTTACATTTTAAGTATGTAAAACAATAGAATGGCAGCCTGTGAGGGGACTGATATCTCCATCATTGTAAGAATGTAAAGACAGAAAGGCCAGAATTTTCTGCATCCTGAATGCACATTTACTAAAACATTTTAATGTAACTCATGCATATTTTCAAATGTATATATTTATGTAGCTAATAAACAGCTTTTAAAGCATATTATTTAATAATTTCATTTACCTAAACAAGTCTTTTGTGATAGTTACCAAAACACTGAGAAAATACAAAAATGTATACAATCTTAACAGCAGCCTTTGTCACAACGACGCAGTTTATTAAAACAGTTTACTTACTGCACTGAAATTGTTCTCTACCTAATAAGTCCTGTACAGTTCTTCGCAAATGAGAAGCCACACCTGACTTAAGCACAATGAAAGTCTGTGTTTTATGATTCCTATGATTGAATTAATTTTGAAGGAAAGATGTCTTCTATTAAAAACTCCTAATTCCCACCGCCCACTACACCTGTTCTGTGGATCTACCTTTTCAGACACCAGTTTGCTGAAAAGCAAAGTTCCATTTACACTTGAAATTCACCACAGAATTTTGAAAAATATGTCCTGTTAAGAGCTGAGGAGAGCCACGCAGTATCACTACACTTACAGAAGAAAACATTCACTTCCTAAAAAATCACATCTAATGGTTTTCAAATCAAAAGGGAAAAGGTTAACATAAACTGGCATCGACGACGGCTTCCCGACTACACCTCTCAAATTCTAAAAGCATGAAAAATACTAAAGGAAAACATTAATATTAGACTAACCTTGAGACTCACATTGAAATTCTCAGAAAGTTTATGAGGTATTGCTAACTTAAAGTGAAATAAATTTCCCTCAGGACTAACCCAGAGAGCTTTATGGTCCAAGTTAGTAAAACCATCCAATCATTCCCCTCGGAGATTTATGGATTCCCTAAAAGCCATCATTCAAAGTGGAGCAGAAAGGACAAACGGATGTTTCTTTTACTGCCAGAGCAAGCTCCCAGTAATTCTTACAATTTCAATTCAAATACATATCCTATACAGCCAAATATAAGAAACATACATCTACTCCCTCTAATCTACTTTTAGCACTTTATTTGAAAATAATTTCAAACGTACAAACAAGTTGTAAGAGTAGTCAAAGGAATTCCACATACCCATTACTCAGATTCACTCATTATTAACATTTTGTCCCATATGAGTTCTCTCTCTCTCTCTCACACACACACACGCACACACACAGATGCACAGTAATTAGATACATCATTCATCCCTAATACCCATACATATTTTAGTGTGCGCTTTAAAACCAAAGACTTTCTTTTTATAACCATATTACAGTTATCAACATCAAGAAGACTTAACATTTACGCAACGTTTTAATACACATATATATACTTCAACTTGTGAACTGAGCCAATAATGTCCTTCACAGCATTTTTTTTGTCAAGTGTAGAATCCAGCCTGGGGTCACCTCCAGCATTTGGTTGCCACATTTCTTTAAACTCCTTGAATCTGGAACAATTGTCCAGCTTTTCTTTGCCTTTCGTGACACTGACATTTTTGCAGACTAAAGCTCTCTCCCTTTTAAAATGAAAGGTTCCTCATTTGGAGTTTGTATGAAACTGCTTGATGATTAGATTTAGGTACGAGTTCCCACTCAATACTGTAAGCCAGGGGTTGGCAACCTATGTCCATGGCCCACATATGGCCTGCTGCTCATTTCTGTAAATAAAGATTTATTGGCACATAGGCATCTTCATTCCTATGCATATTATCTATGGCTTGCTTTCAAAATTTCAATGGCAGAATTAAGTAGAAGAAACGGAGACACGATGATCGGCAAAACATGAAATATTTACTATCTGAACCTCTACAGGAGGCAAGGACCTGACAGATTTCTTCACTATATAGTCACCATTTTCCCCCTGCACCCTACCAACAATCTGTGGGGACGACACCTAGATGCCATGCACATCTCACCAAATATTCATCCCCACAGGTTTAGCATCCATTGATGATTCTTTCCCAAACTAATTTTTACTACAGTTTTTTTAAACTTCAACCAGAGAGCATTCTATGTAAGAAAGAGAATTCCCCTCTCCTCTATGTGTGTCTGTAGGTCTGTCCATTATCACTGTTAGTTCATAGATTCTATTTTTTCACCACTTTATAATTTATTACTTTCTTAAATTATTTTGATGCTCAAATCATCGCGGGGTTCACCGATGGGACCCCTCCAAGGGGACTCCTATTCGTTTTTGGACAGGACCCATTGTTTTCTCGAGCACGACCTTAATTCAATAGCACAGGATGTGCCGGGCTCATCTCTGCGGGCCCTGCCACAGCCCCACCAGCAGTGATGCCTCCAGGGAGCCCTGCTTCCTACTTATGGGAATGTTATTAGAAACTGGATCTTGGAATATCGGTGACTGGTGTGCTCACTACTAAGGTGTCTTAGCTTCTAGGCCCTTTCAGAGGAATCTGCATCTACAGCTATTTGTCTTTCTGTCTATATGATCATAAATTCACACTGATACGTCCAATTCCAACCCATTCAGGCAGGATTCCTTCTTGCCTTCCCCATTCCACATCTGATACCTAAAGGACAGTTTGGCCAGGTATAAAACCCTTAGCTTTCCTTCAGTTTCTTGAAAAATCTGATCCATGTTTACCTAGATTTGTATGTTGCTTTTGAGGAATCTGATATTAATCTAATCTCTCGCCCTTATAAGATATTTCCTCTTTCTGCCTGAAGAACCTGAAGATTTTTTTAAATCTTTGAAAATATGATATTTTTATCAAGATAACTCACAACTGCTTCTGTGGGTGAATTTTAACAGGTGCCCAACCCAACAGCTCATACGCAGGTGAATGGACAAGTGAACTGTGGTAGAGTCACACAATGAAATACAGCAATGCAGAGGAGTCAATTGTGCTGATTCATAACAACATGGGTGAAATAGTGAATGAAAGAAAAGAAATCCTCAGGAAACCAGATGGTTCCTTTGTTTTAAATCATATTATTACAAAAATCTCAGAGAAGATTCAGGGTACTAAGCACTGGCCTAGAAATACTTTGAAGTTACTTTCAATATTATTCAAAGTCAAATAAGCGGTCATTCTGGAGTATGTTAACTGGGAAATTTCTGTCTCTTTTTAAAATTTCGACATAATGGTGAGATCGATATCCTAAGAGTCTAATTCAGGGTAAATTTTTATCTAGTAAAATACCCTGTTTTCGTAAATTACTCGGCTATAATTTCAGCTTTCTTTTCAATTACCTTCACCACAGTGCTGGTTAAAAAGAGAGAGTCCCTTTTTAACTAAACAAAAAATTCCCAGTTTTCTAGAAGCTTTAAACATGGAAGGATACTCAAAGTAAATCCGACCCACATTTGGGTAGTTGAAGCATTAAAATCAGCCAGGAAAAAACAGCTAAAACTGACATCACAGTACAGTAATCCCACTATAAACAGAAAAAAAAAAAAATGTTTTAAAGTGTCTCTGTAGAGATCATTCTTCACTTATAACTAAGATACCACATTATCCTATTACTTACGTTCAAAGCAGCCCTACTTCCTATAGCATCATTCCCTAACGTAGCGCTTGTCTATGGTATAAACAACTTAATTACTCTGACATCTTTAAACTATAGCTACCCTTCGCTTTGTATACTTCTCTTTTTTTTGTTTTTGGTACACTTTTCTGTGCAAGTACACTTCAAAGTGAAAGTAATCACAGATCATTTTGACACCACATACTTTCAACCATAAGCAGCAAATTCAAGGTGCATTAGGAGTAAGTAATGTAATAAGTTCATTTTATTACTAAGATATAATTTTACAGAAAAGTTGGTGAGTTTTACTTTGTCCTTAAATAATTCACAGAATTTTAAATCTACCCATAATTCACCTATCATTCTTATAAAACTCATAAATTGTGTATTCTTCCTATTTCCATCTTAGGCAACATCCATAAGTGTGCCTGACAAAGTACTGTAATGCCATTAATAAGACAAAAATCAAACCCAAAATACCCTGGTGATAAATTTACTTAGAAATCGTATTTTGGTTATAGAATAAGCTGAAAGAAACTATAGAAATAGTTAAAA